TATATATATATATATATATATATATATATATATATATATATATATATATATATATATATATATATATATATATATATATATATATATATATATATATATATATATATATATATATATATATATATATATATATATATATATATATATATATATATATATATATATATATATATATATATATATATATATATATTTATATTTATATTTATATATTTATTAAACATAATCATAAACTGCCCCCTGGTGGCGAATATGTGTTTCGCTTCATCCTTGCATTACGGTGGAGTGGGCGGAGCCTCGTGAATGACGGTTATTTTTTTCAAACGAGGAAGTGAAGTCAAGTCCGCCATTTCATCTTCTTTTTATCGGGTAAGTTATTATTTTAAAATCATATTTGTGAGATATTTGTCGTCAGGTAATGTTTTATTGTTAGAAAAGCCCCTGTTTTGAATAGTAATAAAACTGTAACTTATATGTGGATAATATGGCTAAAAACGGCTAAGAATGATGGCCGCCGTCAGTTCAGTAACGTTAATCTGTTAAGTTGATTGTGCTCGGGGTTTTAACAAATTCATTTAAGTTACAATTGAAATGAACAATAAGACGTGTTATATGAAGAACAGCGTCGAAACGGGAGCTTGAATGAATGAATCATATGCTGTCCGTTTTATACAGTTGTAATAGGTGCCGAGTTCTGCTTTTGTACTGGTTTTAGCTCAAACACCGAACGAACAGTCTCTTTTTGGTAACGTTAATCCTAATGATCTTGATTTGCTTGTTAATGTGTGTTTTATCAAGTTTCAGCAAAAGTTTGCAGAGTAACGTTATGTGGTTCATTCTGGCCACTGTTGAGACTGGTCTGCATTAAAAAATTTTTTTAGAGCCAAAACATTTTTAAAAAATTCAAAGTTGAAACATGATGTTAAATGACTTATGAAGGAAATTAATTAGCTAAAAAAGAAGGCTAAGTGTGTTATGAAATATTAAACCTTGTTAAAAAAATAAAATCAATTGTGTTAAATAAGCTTAAAATCCATATCTTATGTTTTATGTTACTTCAAAACAGCCTGGAAATTAAATTGCACCATTAATCTTGTACATATGTATCAAGTCCAAACAAATGGTTTTGTGGCAAGTAAAAATAATATTTTTATAAATAGATTGTATTGTATTAATTTGTTACAGAAAAGAAAGGAATCATGCAAGGATGCAAGCTGAAGGAAAGGACAACTCTCACATCAGTGCATTACTAATTGTTTGACTTCATCATCAAGCACACCAGGTACAATATTGTACATATTTTGTAACTTGTATATGTCAGACTGGTTGTTGGGAACTGAAATAATATATTTTATGTTTTATTTATTATTAAAATATTACAAGATTTATTGCTGCTATTTTATCACTGTGTGAGGTCATAGCTTATTTAAAAAATCTAATAATGACATAATAATGACATCTTTTATCCTCCACTTGTTTCAAAATATTTTTTTTGTTCTGTTGAACATAAACTCAGGCGGTGCGATGGTACAGTGGATAGCTCTGTTGCCTCCCAGCAAAGATGTTTCTGGTTCGAGCCTCGGCTGGGTAAGTTGGCATTTCTGTGTGAAGTTTGTATGTTCTCCACGTGTTGGCGTGGGCCTCCTCCGGGTGCTCCGGTTTTCCCCACAAGACATGCGGTACAGGTGAATTGGGTAAGCTAAATTGTCCATAGTGAATGTGTGTAAATGAGAGTGTATGGGTTTTTCCCAGTGATGTGTTGCAGCTGGAAGAGTATCTGCTGCATAAAACATATGCTGGATAAGTTGGCTGTTCATTCCACTGTGGTGACCCCAGATTAATAAAGGGATGAAGCTAAAAAGAAAATGAATGAACACAAACCCAGTTTTTCCTACTATGTATATCAATAGTTACAGGTTTCTAACATTCTTCAAAATATCTGCTTTAGTGTTGAACAGATTCAAACTGCTTTGAAACAAGTAGAGGATGAATAAATGGTGGCAGAATAGTAAACTATATCTTTAAATGTTTTATTCTGTATGTTATGTGTATTCATATTTGTCTTGTCTTTTGTCATATTGTCCTTCTAGCTCAGATTGTGATGGACCGGGAATGCGACACCAGTTACTCTTAAGTCAAGAACCAAATGAAGCACCACAGTACAGATTATGGAGGTATCTGAAGTTGAACTAACTGGAGGCAGGGACCATACTAATAAAGTTCCTTAAGGTAAAAGCACCTGCTTTATTTTGATAGGAAGTATTTTTTTATAGAGTTCTATTGTTTTATTCTTATTCTAATTTATTATATTTATATACTGAATGGAAGTCATTCAAATTTCACAACAAATGATTTGCAGATTGAATATAAAATATAATGACATTTTAATGCATTATTTCTTTTGGTTATTCTTTACATCTATATATGGACAAGTATTTAATCAATGAAAATAATTTTAAACAACTTAACTAAACAAATTACTCTGTTGGACCCTAGCAAAATCCTCAAACTAACACACACTCTTGTGAATGCATTCTCACATTCATACACTCAAAAACACACATTCATACAACAGTCTGTCTCAGTCTGACTCACACACAACATCCTCTCTCACAGGTTTTTCTAGCAAACCTCCACCACAAGCTTGTCCCTTTATGCTGCTTTTATTTCAAACATTTTAGAGCATGATATAGTCCAGGTTTTTATCATTAAGTTTTTTTTTCCATTCAGCAGGTTCCTTGTAAAGATGAACCCAGGGAAGGATCGAAAGTGGAGAAGACCAAATCAAGAAAGACCACATCAAGATCTGCGGTCAGTTCAAAGGTACCTTCACTAATTACCAAGATTTCAGACTATGAATTGATGGAGAAAACTTTGAGTGTCAGATCTTCCTACATCGCCTAGCAAAAATTCTTCCCAGTGTCTTGTAGTAGAAGTGATGCAGTCAATCGAGTTTACATTATTTCGTAAATTGCTTTCCGATTTAATAAAAATATATTAACCAAACTTGATTAATGTAACAATTTTGATGAAAAGGGCATGTTTCACAAGAGCTTTTAGCACAAAGGCACCCCCATCTTGGAATATTGCTGTGTCTGACGTCACAGGGTTGGTATGCTGGAAACGTTTTTGAATGAGGTATTTGTATGATTTATACATAGTCTGTCTTAAAGCGTCACTAAATTGTACAGGCATTACAGGTCAAAGCAATCTGTTGTTACATTTATCAAAATAAACAATAAGGCTTTTAAAACACTGCTTTGAAAAATGTAGAAAATGTAAACAAATATTTCAAATACCTCAAATGAAATGAAGTCATTTGTTTTATTATTTTTAAAAATTTTTTTTTGTAAAGTCATTTGTTTATAATTATGTAAAAAAAAAAAATCCAAGTACTATAAAGGTTATTTAAGCAACAAATTTGCCAGATTGTAAAGGCAGACACAGAATGAGCAGACAAAGAAAAACTGTGTAAAATGTGTAAATAAAAGGCTACATTTTAAATTTTTACATCTTTTCATCATATACGTAAAACCTTCCCAAGCTTGAAAATATANTAAACTTCCTTAAAGGAAATAAACTTCCTTTGTTAGTGCAAATTCCTTTTTATGTAGTCTTGTAATTAAACAATTAAACCATTTAAACAAGTTTACACTTAAAAAAGGTCCGTAATGAAAATACGATTTTTTTTGCCAAATGTAACTAACTAAAATAGTACCATGTACTTTTACTCTGTATTAGTATTATTTACTAAAATTTGTTTTATTTTAGCAATATAATAGTATTTCTAGTCCTTTAATTTAATGTAATTTAATTTTCAGTTCTTTTTCCATCTACGAAAACATTAAAAAAAATAATTTCACAAGCACATTTAAAATAAGTTTAATACTATGAAATATTATATTAATATTATTTTAAATTTTTTATAAATCGATAGGTAGTTCCTATGGAATGTTTTTATGTATTGCTGAGAATACATTTCAGGTGTTCAATACGTTGCTTGTCAGTCTTAAATAAAAATAGGTGCTTAAACAAGTGCTTAAAAGTCCTTAATTTTAATCGAGTTGTGCCTGTATGCAAACAGCACCTTTTCATTGTTGTCTTCTCCTATTTTCAGGATGTTTTGCATTGGACTGTTTTTTTTTTTGGATTTGACCCTTGCTCGCCCCTGACCTCACTCTTGGACTGCCCTGTTGGATTTTCAGTTTATTTTATTTATTTATTTTAAATTTTTTTTTTGGTTCTGAGTAGATGCTAATAAATATTTAGTTGTAATTATTTAAATAATATGTTTTTGTTAAATATGCGATTTCTGTGTTTGTTCTGTCTACTCATACTTGTTTATCTTGTTTCTGTAATTATCATTTGTTATTTGACCCTTGCCTCGCCTCTGATCTTGTTTTTGGATTGCCCTTTATATATCTTTTTAATTATTGGTTCTGGTTATATGGTTATAAAATATTTGTTAATTTAATTAATATGAATTTTATTAAAAAATATATATATATTTTCTGTTTATTCTGTAACTATTTATCTAATTTGTATATACATTTGTGTTTGTATGTTCTTTTTATTCTGTATATCCACTTACCTAATTTTAACTTTTATATATATTTATTTGCATTTAATTTGTGATAATTCTGTATGCATTTATTTATCTAATTAATATATTTATTTGTATTGCATTGATCAATCTGTTGTTTTTTTTTTTTGTATGCATCTATTTATATAATTTATATAAATTATATATTTGTATTTATCAATTTATATGCTTCCTTTAAAGCAATTTTTTTAAATAAAGCAATTTAAACTAAGCATTCCTTTTAATGTGATTTATATAGCTACCAAATGTAGATGTGAGCCACATCTAACCCAAAAGTCAGCCGCAACTGAACCAGATCTGGGCCAGATCTGTGAAATTGCATGGGCCGCATCTGGGCCAGATCTGAGAAACTGCATGGGCTGTATGTGGGCCAGATCTGAGAAAGTGCATGGGCCGCAGCTGGACCAGATTTGAGAATGTGCATGGGCCGTAGCTGGGCCAGATCTAAGAAAATATATGGGCCACATCTGGCCCAGATATGGACCATGCTTTTTTTGAGATATGGCCCAGATCTGGTTCAGTTGTGGCTGACTTTTGGATCCTTATGTCAGCCACAATCAGGTTGAGTCATCGCCGTCATTCCGCGCGGTATGTGGGCCAGAAGAAAATGGGGGATGTGGGCCATATCTGGGCCAGATGTAATTTGCTATCTGGGTCCTTTTTCATTGCCCGGGATTTAGCAGGCAGACGCAGCTTCTGCAATGGTCGACATTAACTGCTCCCAGCAGCGGATCTGATTAACAAGGTAAGTTGCAAATTTAGCCGAATGATAATTGTAAAGTCATGCAAAACTGCTGTCTTCGCTAGGCAGGTGAGGTTTTAGCTTTGTAAATTGTACTGTAGCCTCAGGTATGTTAACAGTTAGACTGCTCTCACATGGAAAGCTAAGTTGGCTAACGCTAACCAACGCTAGTTTATGCTAACGATTAAAAGTGATATTATTGAGAAAAAATAGTGAAAGTAGTTTTAAAACACTTAGTAGGTATAACTAACGTTGCAGAACCGATTAACAAGGTCACTGGTGGGCGGTCGGGGTGTGGGGGTTCAGTTTGCTAGCGCTAACTTAGCTAAAGTTAGCTCACCTAAGTTATAGCAGCACATTAAGGATGGATATTAAATGCAGAAACGTATGCAACAGTTAAGTAGTTTGTTTAACGTAAGAGAAAGTATAACTTAAAGTTTGTGTTTTAGAGATTTAGTCCATAAGTTTTTCAATGCTGCATAGTGAATAAATTACAGATTTACAATTTATTTTAACTTAAATTACATTTACTACTGATGTTTACAGAACCATTTAAATTGTATCCACCTCATTCTAAAATGCATGTTCTTGGTCTTTAGATACCAAAGTAATTTTGTTACCTGTGGATCTTCAAACTTCACATCCAGGTAAGAAAAACATTAGATACAACTACAGCTATAATTATTTGCAGGCAAGTAAAACATTGGTAAAATTGCAAACAATAGTGAGCTCCATAGAATTAACTTACATTTGATATCTGAAGATTTTTTATGTGTGCAACAGTAAAAACAGTAAAAAAAATATCCTAATGCAGTTTCTTATTATTTGTCAGTCTTTCAATAAAGCTAACTGATAACACTGAATCACTGAACTGTCATTTGCCAGTGACATTAAATTTGAAGAAAAAGTCAATTAAATGTAGCTTTAGCAAAAATTTAATGTAAACCTTAATGTAATGTGTAAAATGGCAATGTATTTATTTATTTATTTAATAAAATTTGTATTATGACGTGCAAAGTTTGGTGCAAAATGAAGATGACATTTAAATTATAGAACTTGTATTCTATAATTTTCATATAGCCATTTTCAAACAGTTTTAATATCTAAATTAAATACACATTCTTATGCTTTATAAGTTGCCAAAATAAACAAAAAATGTAATACCTAAATTTTAACAATTCTTTGATTGACAGGAAAACACAATGACATGCACTGTTACACTGAGTAAAATCACAGTTTTCTTTAAAATTTGATAACTAAAAACACCTGGAATAATGTAATTACACAACCTCTATAACCTTTTTTTAATTTTTAAATAGAAGTTAGGTAATTTTAACTAAGGTAATTTTTAACTGATAAACTAAGGTGTTTCATCCATGCATCATTCTCACTGGACTTTTGTAACTTCACTTGTAGTTATTTTCTATTTAGTATTTAGCTATTTAATGTTGTTTGGTAGCAACCACCTGAACTCCTGTTTCTTTTTGTCTCTACCAATAGAGTTGTGAGGAATCAGAGGTGCATGCGGCTGCCCACGGGAAAAATTTGCCATCAGCCCAACACAGTTTGGATTATCATAGGACTGTCAGAGGTTTGCCAAACCTGTCAAATGCATGATGGCTCCTGTTTGGACTTACCGATGTCCTCGACTTCAAGTATCCATCAAAACTGTATACATTTGAGATATATTAGAGACTCTTTGTGGGACTGGACATTATGCATCCTAAATCTTCATCAAAATATGCAAATCTCCTCACTGAGTTGCCTTGGATGATTTCTCAATAGGATCTGGTATTATTGATGTTTTTATTTATGTATTGTGTACGTGTAGCCACATTAATGGCCTATTTTGCAGTCACTATTAAAAGGAACATCGATTGATATTGAATACATGTTATGGTCTTTAATCCATCTTCCCATTCTTATTTAATTGTTATTGACAGGAAAGTCTGTTTATCTGTTTTTACTAGTGTATATTGTGCTTACAATATAGAAACGAAGATTTATTTTCTGAGGTTACAGCCAGAAGTCAATTAAATTAGTTTTAAATGACATATGCATGGTTAATTTTATTTAGATCATTAAGTTCATAATACTTAATTAAAATGAGTACAGTCAACCTATAGCAATGTATAAGTAAGTTAAGTTTAACAAAAAAAGTAAGTTTATCTGATTTGAGTAATTTTAGAAATATTAGTTGGCTCAACTTAATTTTATTGCATTTGTTTTAAGCAATGTTTTATTGTTTAAAATACTTAAAAAAGGCTGGAAGTTGAATCAACCTAAAACGTCCGATGCAACCACTTGCCTCACTTTTTATAAGTTAGATCTAAGTAACATTTTTTACAGTGTACTCTTGAGGGTGAGCTCACGCAGTTTGCACTAAACACCTGTGTCTTTTAAAAAAGGTTTGCTTGCTGTTTATGCTCTTCAGGATCGTTGCATTTTTGCTGTTTTTTTGTGTTCCATTTTGATGCTCTTTGATGTAGGACAAAAAGGCAAATTTCTAAAACAAGTGGTTATTGTAGCTCGTTAGATCGTGAAGACATAATAATAATAATAATAATAATAATAATAATAATAATAACTTTAATTTAGATGAATGCACATTCAATTAAATTAATTAATTATTTTCACTATTTTATTTTATTTAAATGTAAACAAGAAGACCGATATATGCGTTTCATATACATTGTTATATTTTACAATAAATGACCAGGCTAAATACTTATGATTCTTAACTTTTGTGTTTTGTGTGATTTTTAAAAAAAAAAGTATTGTTATAAATTAAATATTTAACGTGTTAATCTGTATTTAATTTTACCAAATGATTAAATAATCAAGCAGTTTTTACAATTTTTAAATAAAACATTTAGAATTGTTTGTAATCTTTAATTAATGCATTGGATACAAAACTGCTATTTAAATTTAAACGTTTGACTGGAGCGTCGTTAATCTTAATTTTTAATTATTAAATAAAATTTAGCCACAGGTAATTTTGCAAATAAATTAATAAATAGGCGTCACGGTGGCGCAGCACAATTCGGACAGCTAGATGGTCGCTGGTCGACAGATCAGAATTGGGTCAGTTGGCATTTCTGTGTGGAGATGCATGTTTTTTTTCGTGTTGGCGTGGGTTTCCGGATGCTCCGTTTTCCCCCACAAGACATCCCACACAGAAAGAACGTTCATTCATTCATTCAATATTCTTGTCGGCTTAGTCTCTTTATTAACCCGTGGTCGCCACAGCGGAATGAACCGCCAACTTATCCAGCACGTTTTTACGCAGCGGATGCCCTTCCAGCCGCAACCCTGGGAAACATCCACAAACACTCATTCTCACACATTCATACACTACGGACAATTTAGCCTACTCAATTCACATGTACCGCATGTGGACTGTGGGGGACACCGGAGCACACAGAGGAAACCCACGCGAACGCAGGGAGAA